TACTGAATATTTACATATATCAAAATTTCAATGGGCATAAACCGAGTAAAGAAAATACAATGTTGATTGAACACGTCATTAGAATGGGTATGCATATCATGTTATAATGACGTAATTATTCATTATTAATCGCAGATTTTTAACTGATTCATATTTTAGATCATAAAAAAATAAAGAATTTGCATTTATATGTGTAAAATTATATATTATTTTAATTTAATGCTACTCATTTTGAGGTTAAAATGTTTTTATAGTAGGCATTAGTCCAACATAACTTTATAGGGCTGCTTTTTGACGTTTTCACCTTATTGACTTGCTATAATGTCTATTTAGCCATTATCCGTCCACTGCTGGACATAAGCCTCCCCCATAGACTGCAATAAAGAACAGTCCTAAGCCACCTGCATCTATTGACACCCTACAATGCATTTCAGGTCATCACTCCATCTAGTGGGGGGCTGTCCTACACTGCGTTTTCCCGTACACGGTCGTCACTCAAGAACCTTTCTTTCCCGTCGGTTGTCGGTTCTACGAGCTATCTATAACTATTACTGAACATTAATTACAGAATTATAATGCATTTATGAATAAAAATTTTTGTATTTACAATTATTTCTTTATTATAGAAAGCTTGTAAAGGGTTGATGTTTTTTTTTTTTTTTTTTTAAATAAGACTATTAATAGATAGCATTACTAACAAATAAAACGCTTGTTGAACATTCCTTACATACTAGAAATGTTCAAGTTCTTGGAAAATACATGTTAGTTCTAATATAAAATAATTACATTTTATTTCCAGTTTCAAATATCTCTAAGGGTTACTATTTGGAAAATATCTCTTCAAATATAATTTCATTTTCCTCTCAGTAAGAAATATCTCTGGGGAAATTATGCAATTGTAGTTTATTTATATTTAAACGTACCGTTTGTAGACAGAGTTTTTTATTATTTAATAGACGATAATGAAATGGTCACGCCGCCTGCGCTAACGGTATACGCCGGCGAAGCACCAGTGAAGAATGATAAATGAGAATGAACAGGCAGGTCAGTTAGCCCATCATGATGACACCTGGAACTCAACACGATGGTTTCCAGGGGGGACCACGTGGAGGTCAACCCGACAGGGTATTTTTTTCTTTATACAACTTAGAATGGCAAACAAGCTGACGGCCCACCAGATGGAAAATGGTAACCGTCGCCTACAGACATGAGCAGTACCATGCACATAACAGAGTATACTGTTTCGTCCATGATACCCCCCATGCGTTGCCATTCCTGAGGACTCAGGTGTTATTCCTCTGTACCCAGCGAATTCACTGGTAGTCTACATTAGTAATAACCCCTTCACCCTCTTGTAGATACCCTACAAACAATAATTATCGTATTGTATATTTGTTTACTTTATGCTACGTTGGTTAATGAGAATCTTAGATAAATAACTTTATTATTGTGGCGAAATTTGGAAGGGATAAGTAAATACGATGAGACAACGTGCACGTTACATTGCTCTTTCATACAATCCTCAAAGATTGATAATTGTATCATTCTATGATTCCATGTTTTGGCATATAATAATAATATTTTTACTAGATAGATAGAAATTAGACCTTAAGGAATAGAATTTAGAAACAGGTTTTTATACCACTGAGGTGGCAAACATACAGTCCACCTGATCATAAATTGTTATCGTAACCTACGAACACCTGCAATACCAGAAGTATTACGCGCGCGTTACCGACCCTGAAGAAATCTCTTTACCCCCCTTTTGAAGAACCCCATGCTGTAATCTCTTGGGAAAAACTCGGCAGGGAGCTCATTCCATAACCTTAGTGTCCGTGGGAGAAAACATCTCTGAAACCGCGTTGTACATGACCACTTAGACTGTAGGATATAAGGATGAACTCCCTGTCGATGGCGAGCCGTACGATGATAGAAAGTGGTCGTGGGCATCATATTGAACAATTCCTCTGAGTACAATCTGTTGTACAAGCGGTAGAACACGCAGAGTGAGGCAAAATCTCTCCTAAGACTTAAGGGTTCGAGACCGCTTGTAAATTGGGATCACCGACAATTCTCATAGCTCGTCGTTGCATCGAGTCGAAGGGTTGATACAATAGTTTTTGCTTGATATCAAAATACGCGTAGACAGAGAAAATTTCCAAAAAATATTTTTTGGTATCAATTGGTTTTATTAAAACCCCTGATACCATAATATTTTTCTTTTTTAAATATCTTCTACGTACAGACATCGTTGCTTACAATTTTATTATATTAGTAATATAACATTTTTTTTTTTTTTTTATCATTTATTCAAATAAACTTACATTGAAGCACTTTTGGAAAGTCATTACATTTTTTTTTTAATCTACCGCTCGTTCGGAAAGCTGTCTCATCACAAGAAGAACGAGCAAGAAACTTGCGTGTTGCTCTTTTAAATAATTTTATTATTACTTTACATTTTCAAGTTTAATTGTGTGAATACAAACCATCAATTAGCACTAATTCAATTAAATACTCAAAAAGAAAAAAAATATTGAATACATAACCAACTGGTTAAACAATTAATAAGAGGAAATCAGTCATAGTGATTAGAGCAGACCAGTCCCTACAAGCAGCACCCGTTCACGAGTATGACGGATGAGCCAGCCATCACTGCGCTCGACCATATTTTAGGGAGCCCAATGACCCGGCCCACCACGCCGCCACAAGTCTGGACATTTTAGTGAGCATGACTACTCAAAACACTAGACCACGTCAAAGCTACTCACAATTGCCATCTGATAGTTATAGTATTCACATTTTACATAAGAATGCATGCGGCAATTAATACAAAAAACCGCTACGCTTTCATATTTCTAAAATTAATCAATTAAATCAAGAAAGCAATGAGAAAATAAAATTATAACGTTGTATGCTAATAAACTAATTATTTACTTGATATGTTGTCATCTATGAATTCGTCTATCCTGTAATAGGCTTTCTTACATAAAAATTGTTTAATATAAGATTTGAATTGCCTCTCTGTCAGATTTAATGCAGATTCCGGCAGTTTATTATAAAATCTTATGCAATTACCATAGAATGAATTACTGATTTTGTGCAGACGGCATTTAGGTAAAATAAGCTTATTTATATTGCGTAAGTTTCTACTTGTACAGTCTTTGAGTTTTTTAAAACTCTCTAAGTTCTTCCATGTATACATAATATTTTCATAAATGTATTGTGAAGTAACTGTGAGGATATTTGAGTCTTTAAAGCACTGACGTAATGACTCTCTCGAACCCATACCATAAATAGAACGTATGGCTCTCTTTTGTAAAACAAATATAGTATTTATATCGGCTGCTTTACCCCACAGCAGTATGCCATAAGACATTATGCTATGGAAATAACTAAAATATACAAGTTTAGCCGTTGCCACGTCTGTTATTGTCATTCAAGTAAAGATTTACTTAAATAAAAATATTTACCGTAGAAGTATCTTTCCCCTCTCACCGTACTGGTTTCGCTTCAAATTCTTTTCTCCTAAATTCTTCACGGCTCTGGAACGCGCTTCCTGATACCATTAAGTGACTACCGACTTAACCATCTTTCGAAAAAAAAACGTTCACGCTCACTTTTTTACTTTATCCGAGCAGTAAGTACGTTATTTTATTCTCAATTTCGTGTATAATATTTTATATATGTGTAAGTATATATATATATATATATATATATATAAACATTTTTAAATAGTCTTTTTTTATGATAACCTACCAAAGCCCATTCGAATTACAATTAGCGCTAAGAAGAAATAGCCAAAAACTCAACTGGTACTTTTTTACACAAAAGTTGACTTTAAAAATTAAAAGTATCAATACAAACTAACAAATAGAGTATTTTTTTTTAAATTAGTCAACAAAGTAACAACAAGTATACTGATATTTTACAAAAAAAAAAATAATCCTACACTCTGATTAAAGGTGCAATGTTTCGTACATAGAATATATTGGAAATATTTGAATTTAGAATGCATAACTACATTGAAAGTATTTAAATCTAAAAAGCGAAATGACGTGTTTACGCATAAAAATATTGCTTCGCAACAAACATTTTCCTTGCTATATTCTTTATTGCACTTGTAAATTACATTTATAAATGCATTATATTACGCATTTATAAATGTTTTGAGCAGGGGTTGACTTATGTATGACAGAGATCTCTTCCAGTCAACCCATTTAAGTTAGAAAGCATGTCGTAATTTTAATCGTCGCAAAACAAATTATGTGAAAGTAAACCCTATTAATTGTAAAAATAAATATAAAAATCGATTTGCAGAGTTGACGACATAATCGGGAAATTAAAAAAAAATTCATTTTTTAAACAATGCAGGCGAAAGAAACGTCGAAATAGAGCCTTATCTATAAAAACTCGCAGCATTATTGCCTTAATATATAAACACTGAGATTTTGTTCACTGATCCACAACATTATAGATAAGACAACCATACCATCTATCTTTGTATTTCCTTCAAATCATAAATATAGATGTATCAGACATTTATCAATGTCTGGAATGAATTAGGTTATTTTATCATAATCCTTGCAAGAACTGCGACGGTATGTAGCTTATACTAGCGACATACTATTTCATATTATACTTTTTTTTTTATTTACCAATAAGGCAAAGAAATATACGAAACACACGCGATACTACGAATGTCACGTGCTTACTGCCAGTTACGAAGAAACCTTTTTTATATGTTTACCGTATGGTATCGTTATTTTTTATTATTATACATAATATATTTACTATTTGGACATTATAAAAATAATAAACGTATCCATTTACCTAATATTAAATTTATTATCTTAATAAACTATTTTTTTCGATATTCTCCGAAGATTTAAAGGGCATATAAAGAAAGGACTTCCTTTAAGGTGCCGCGTGGAAAATAAACCGGGCACTGACCTTTACAGATGAAGGACATACAAAAAAAACGTATACATAAAAAGACTTACCGCAAAAAATAAAGTCCGGACTTGATAAATTTTAATCAACACTATAAAACGAAAACTAAAACAGAAAATGATCAAATTAAACACACAAGATCCGGCGTGGAACGTTAAATGTCATAATGTAAACAAAAAAAGAAAAAGAATATAAAAAATAAAAAATACAGTTATTTTAAAATTCGAATTTTATCGAAAAAGGAAAAAAAACGGCTCACTCACACACGGACATTACATACAAACAGTTACTGTTGATTCGATTTTTGAAAACGATCCGATCTCGACGTCGCGGGTGAAGCGACCGCGCTCGGAGAGTCTACGTTCTGAACTACAGCTGTAGCCTGAAACGGGTTTGCCGATCGCCCTTCCCCGCCCCCGTGGCTGACGTTTCGTTGGAAAAATTTCGTTGCATACAACTGCCGTCCCTCATAACCTTCCGTGCTTCCTGTCTTCAAAGGAAATGTTTATACATCACCGCAAACCAATATCCAGGTATGATTCAGGACTCCTTCAAAACATTGCGGGCTAAAATTGTATATGAAACGTTGAAACTGTGTAGGCATTGAGTTTGTTTTAGTTTATTATGAAATACGCTCGCAGTATCATGTTATTTGGAAATATCTGTCTTCTAGTTATTAGGTAAATTTTATTATAGAGCACTAGCTTGTGCCCGTGACTTCGCGTGACCGGGATACTCTCGCTGATTAAAATAACAAGTAGTATATATTTCTCTCTCTTTCTAATTTATAATCTTCATCATCATATCAGCTGTTATTTGTCCACTGCTGGACATAAGCCTTTCAGATATACTGTCATAAGGAACAGTCCTGAGCCATCTGCATCTATTGACTCCCTCCAATGCATTTGAAGTCGTCACTCCATTTAAGAAGGGGGTCGTCCTACACTGCGTTTGCTCGTACGTGGTCGCCACTCAAGAACCTTCTTTTTCCCTGTCGATTGTCGATTGTTTGAGCTATGTAACCAGCCCGTTACCAATTCAGCTAGCTTATCCTTCGGACTATGTCGGTCACTTTGGTTCTTTTGCGGATATCCTCTCCCAGAGAGAAACTTTCTACAAAAGTCGTTTACTTGGGCACCTCTGCCCCATTCGTGTTTCTATCGTAGAGCAGTTGTGTTTGCATGGCTGTGTTTCGGTTTGAAGGGCAGTGAATAGGGCACAGTGAATTTTCAGGGAGCAGAGAAATAACACCTGAATCCTTAGGAATGGCAACGCATGGGGGGTATCATGGGCGAAACGATATACTATGTTATGTCCATGGTGCAGCTCATGTCTATAGGCGACAGTTACTACTTTCAATCAGTTGGACCGTCAGCTTGTTTGCCATTCTAAGTTGCATAAAAAAAAGTAAGGACTTATCTACTTTAATAAGACATACATATAAGTACCAAATAAAATGCAATTGTTTTCAATTAATAAAAAAAAACGCTTAGAAATCAACTTCCAAAAGCAGTACTTCTGAACAGATACAACATCGTAACCTTCAAAAAATGTGCATACTCCTTTTTAAAAGGCCGTCAACACACCTACAATTCCTCCAGTTTTGTTGTTGTGGGTAATCATGGGAAACGGTAGTCACTTACCATCAGGTGAGCTGCATGCTCGTTTGTTCCTAGTGTTATAAAAAAGAAAAAATATATGCATCTTTTTTAAGGAGACATCCCTCCTCCCCCTCTTCCTCCCTCCATCCTTCGGATAGACTAATCTTAAATACTCCAATGTTTATTCCAAGTATAGAAAAACAGATTATAAAGGCCGTGTGTACGCGAACAATGTGAATAGAGCTGAGCACAAATGTATTTACATAAACCACTAACATAAAGATAAATATCCAGGTGGAACGGACACTGCCATGGATTCAGCAATACGAGTAATATATATTTTTTTTATATAACTTAGAATGGCAAACAAGCTGACGGCCCACCTGATGGAAAGTGGTAACCGTCGCCTATAGACATGAGCAGTACCATGGACATAACAGAGTATACTGTTGCGCCCATGATACCCCCCATGCGTTGCCATTCCTGAGGACTCAGGTGTTATTCCTCTGTACCCTGTAAATTCACGCCATATCCCACCCTTCAAACTGAAACACAGCAATGCAAACACAACTGCTACACTAACTGTTCTAATGCTATTGGCCATTGATAACCTTTAGAGCTTCATCACAGGTGACAGGGACAAGTACAGAGTGCAGGGGCGTTAAAAATCTATTTTAGACAAATAAGATTTTCTTTACGTCACTCATCGAGTTTAATAAACCTCACGTTCTGAAGGTGTATTAACTGTCTTTTTAACTGATTCTTTTCCTCTTCTCAAAGATGCAGATCCCTTTATGTGATAAGTCAGCCACTGTATAATCTATATATATAATAAATGTTTTTAATATGTTCAACTTAAAGTATATTTTATAAAAAATTACAACAACAATTTGTTAAATGTGAATAAATTTGTGACAACCCTCCAAATTTTTATATTTTTTTACATCACAGGGGGCAAACGAGCATGCGGCTCACCTGATGGTAAGTGACTACCGCCGCCCATGAGCACTTGCAACATCAGAGACATTCCAGGCATACTGCCGGCCTTTTAGGAATAAGCCCTTTTCTTGAAGGTTATGATGTCGTATCGGTTCGGAAATACTGCTGTTGGAAGTTGATTCCATATATAAAGGGAGGGAGGATACATTTTGGCGACATTCGTAAAGTCAAATATATAAATATCCCTTCCACCTACTCTGTCTATTTTTGTTCCATCGCTGTATACTCATGGACACGCCTTGTGCAATAGTTATCGATTTATTAGTACATGAAATATGATACAGATCCTACACCGTTAGACAAGTGGCAAACGAATCTATTGATAGATACGTTTTTGCTACTGCAGCCATGGGCGAGAACAAGACAGCAACTTACGGCGCTCATTAGATTTCTCAATGTTTTTTTCTGAAACAGGAATATAATAAAAAACATAATTCAAATTATGTTCTTTTTTTCAAATTGCCATCGCTTGATGACATGAATGGACATTGTCCTCTCACCGATTAATTGGCCATATTAAACAGAAAAATTTTGCAAAAAAAATTATTAAATGTAACATAAATGATTGATTAGTTGCAAAGTAAACGAATGATTTATGGCAATATGAATAAATTACTGATTGATTTAAAAAAAAGCTACGATCGCGACAAAATCTTAATAAATTAATTGAAGTCTGTATTTATTTTGGACGTTATTTGACGAAAAATACACACCCACCCTTAAAATTGTCTGGTACCCATCCCGCAATGCGAGGGAGGCTTCATAAAGATATATCGTCATAGTCGTAGAATACTGACGGATCTGACAAATATTAAATATAAAGATCCGTCAGTATTCTACGACTATGACGATATGAGAGTATATTTTCGTCGAGGTTCTTTCGTTCAATTCGGTTGTTTTTATATGTTTCATCACCATCGTCCATTCAGCCATTATCCGTCCACTGTTGGACATAAACCTCCTCATAGACTGCCATAAAGAACGGTCCTGAGCTACCTGTATTTACTGACTCTCTGCAGTGCATTTCAGGTCGTCACTCCATCTAGTGGGGGGTCGTCCTTTTTTATGTTAGATGCCTCATAACTCCGTCAATTTTTTTTATACCACCGAGGTGGCAAACAAGCATACGGCCCACTTGATGGTAAGTGATTACCGCAGCCTATGAACACCTGCAATACTAGAGGTATTACGCGCGCGTTGCCGACCTTAAAGAAACCTCTTTACCCCCCTTTTGAAGAACCCCATGCTGTAGGCTCTTGGAAAAACCTAAATTTAGAAAAATCTTTTTCTAAGTAGGTATACTTACAGTTTAATAGAAATTTTATCAAAATCGGTTCAGTAATTTAATTTGTAAATCAAAATAACAGATTTTGTCACATTCGTTTTTTTGTGGAACACAATCTTTAATTATAGAAGGAATCAATTAGAATTTCTTTATCAATGATGTCAAAACAAACCACGGTTTTTTTTTCTACGTCACGTACTTTTTAATTTGCTCCTACAGCTATCACTTTTCTCATTTAATTAATCCAAGTTCAAATTTTACAAACTTACCAAGAGTCAAGTTTCAAATTATAAGTTTAATTTATTATCAGTTAATAGTTATAGTCCAGATATAATATGGAAAGTATAAATATAACCTAACTAAACTTTGTTCGGTTATCACAAAATTTTGCCAATTACGCGCCGTTAAACTTTTGAACCTTCGTTAAAACTACTATTTTAATCAATGTGTTTAATATTTACACAAAAGTACCTATATCAAGTTTTAGATTTAATCAGTAATACAGATACTATCGACATAATATAAATCGTTCACTGTTTTTGTTTTTTTTTTTTTTAATGGGTGATAATGGAATGGCAACCCCACCCGCATTATCGGTATACACTGGCGGGGCACCAGTGAAGAGGATAGTAGGTGAGGATGAAGCAGGTCAGTTAGCCCACCGTGACGAATTCAACAAGAATTGTTCACGATGGTTTCCAGGGAAAATTGAATCAAAATTAATCAGAACTCTCACTTGGTGGAAATCATCCACGGATGTATTTCGTCATGATAAAAATCACTGCCGGTACACCCATCATGGCCAATTCAGTAGGAATTAACGTGGTAATTTGTCGAATTCGCCCTAATGATTTCCTGGAAGGACCGCGCGGAGGTAGATCTGACAGGGCGTATTACTAGCAACGGGAACTAGTGGCCCATTATTAACAATCCCTTCCCCTTAGAAAATCCTATGTGTCGTGTTATTTATCTGCAAGGTTATTATACTTTCAGATGGTCTCGTAGAAATTTTATCAAAATCGGTTCAGCAGTCTAGTTCATGGTTCCTAAACTTTTCAAATAACGAAACACTAAAGGGAGACTTTGTACAAAAGTCGATTCCTTGGGTACCTCTGTCCCATTCGTGTTTCAACCGTGAAGCAGTTGTGTTTGCATGGCTGTGTTTCGGTTTGAAGGGTGGGATATGGCGTGAATTTACTGGGTACAGAGGAATAACACCTGAGTCTTCAGGAATGGTAACGCATGGGAGGTATCATGGGCGAAACAGTATACTCTGTTATGTCCATGGTACTGCTCATGTCTATAGGCGACGGATACCACTTTCCATCAGGTGGGCCGTCAGCTTGTTTGCCATTCTAAGTTGTATAAAAAAAACGCCCACCAAATACTTTTTCTTTTATAGAACCCCATATCAAACGATTGCAAATCAAAAATACTGTAATTTAAATAAATACTAAAGCTTTTTTTTTTATTATTACGGTTTTATTACGATTGAAACGAGTGTTTTTTTTTTCTGGAAAAAAACTCTTAAATTTTGTTATAATTGAAATTGCTGTTTTGCATTTCA